ATAAAGCCCTCGAGTATAAAATGTGAACATCATCAACACGCCAAAAACTCAGTTTGATAACATGACACCACACCGGAACAACTTCTTCACGTGTATTCTGCTTCACGATTAAGCTTTACCGTCGCTTCTCGTCTGGGTAATAAAAATACATCCCCATAAATTAGCATCAGTTTACCGACTGATAAATTGCGTCTACGAATATATTTTCAAAAAAGAAATAAGCTAATCTTAACTTAACGTTTTGAGCAGGTTTACCGACTGCTTTCTCTCTATGATGACTTAATTTTTGTTAACTTATTATTTGGCAAACAAAAATAATAACATTGTAATAAACCTCCTTTCGTTGATTTTTGAAAACCTAGTGTTTAAGTATATAATTTAATCATAGATATAAAGTTTTTATTACTAAAACTTTAACTGCTGTTGAATATTAAAAAGTAATGCTTCTCTAAAATATTTTTTTCTTAGGCAGTTTTGCTTAACACTGAAAAACGTTGATAGAGATGAGCAATGTAAGATCAAGACCAAGATTGTCCCAATGTTGTTATTGGTATTGGTCGTTCTCAAAAACTTCTAGTCTTGGTATCGGTCTTGGTCTTGCTAATATTGTCTTGGTCTTGGTGTTGAGCTTGCGTATCTTTTATATATTTTAATAATTCCCGTAACCACAAATTTTCCTATTTACCGACACAATAACCGTCTTAAATGCTGAAATATTCTGTCATACATGCGAGCTTGTCATGAAAATAGTGTCGATGGTTGTGAGGGTTATGAAACTCCAGAACTTATTATCCTTCCTCCAACGCATAAACTGACACTTCCTCCAGCACACAAATTGATCTTTTAGCAAAAAAATTGTACAAGGTACTTGAAAGAAGTAAAAAATATCGAAAAAAATTAGTTTGTCTCTATATTTTAACCATGTATAATGTTATCCAGGAGCGAAGACCATTTACTTAGAAGATTTTACTCTTGTATAACCTTTTTTGTAAAGAGTGCCAAAGTTTCTTTTTTTATTTAGTGAAGCAAACTGAAAATATCACATACTAAAATGTTTTGTTCAAAGAAAAGAATATATTAAAGTTGCTTCAAATAGTTTAACTCATAAACCCACCGGAACTAATAATTTTTCGTTTAGTCTTGCGTATTTGGTCTTGGCTTTGGTTTTAGTCTTGGTCTTGTCCGTTTTCGGTCTTAGTTTAGTCTTGGTCTTTTTCGTTAGCTCTTGGTTTTGCTAGTATAAAGACAGTCTTGATTTTGGTGTTAATGGCATTTTCGCAAAACCAAGACCAATTTTGCTCATCACTAATAGTTGAGTATTTCCTAGTGAAGCATCATCACTAAAAACATAAATTTATAACCAGATCCACTTTTAAAACATCATGAATATCCAAAATACTTCACAAAGAAAACTAAACTTTTATGACAATGCAAGAAATATAATTTTCGAATGTAAATGACTGAATTTTCCGTAGAAATAGTGGAATTTATTAGGTAGGTAACAAGTTTCTTAATTATTACAATTAAATTTGTAATATCAACTAAAATACCTAGTAAATTT